CTTCACACTCTACCAGTGTTTTTTTTTTTTTATGCATACCCTAGAGGTTATGGGCCCATACGCTAAAGGAAATCCACAAATAAGTAAGTGTTGCATCTATGATCCAAATACATAATGAGGAAACAAGAGCTGCATCCAATTTACTAAAAGATGGCAAGTGGTTCAGATGTGAAGTTTGCAATAGCAAAGTTCAACAATACCAAATACTAGCTGTGGAAATTTCAACTTTAAATGCTGTTATCCAAAGATGACTTGTAGCAGGTACTGGATACAAACAGACCCACTGACCTGAAGAATGTGAATGCTATGCTACAGATTATGGGATAGGTATGTGCAATAGAAAGAACTAGACCAGAGCAGGAACTAACACTAGAATATGCTAACGGAAAATTATTTAACGAATACAACAGAAGAAAGTAAAATATGCATGGTGAAGAGATTGAGAGATTAGAGGTAGCTCTAAAGGTGCATGAAGGCACAAGACAAAGCAAACAAACTAGGGTATGTTTTCACTGCAAAAAGGGCGGTCACCTGAAAATGAACTACTCAATCTGGAAAGCTGGGCAGTGAAGACAAAAGCCTTCAATGGGAGAAAGAGTTAAAACAGCCACAAAAGAAAATGCAGGTGCGTCATTAGAGTACCATTGAAGTAACTCAGAATAGTACATTACACAGATGGTGCGTTGACTCAGGGGCAACAAGTCACATGACAAGTGATGAAGACAATGTAGTCCAGGCACTCAGGGTCTTTTTCAAGCAGCAGTTTTATTGGAGAAGCATGGCAAACACAGCAATGTTTCGATTCAAGCTTGACAAAGATCAGAGTGTGGATCAAAACGTTGTTGTGTTTGCCATGCTTCTCTAATAAAACTGCTATTTGAAAAAGACCTTGAGTGTCTGGACTACATTGCCCTCACTATATGTAATGGGGGATTGCCAGTCCTAGGTACAGTGCACCAAGGTCTACTTTGTTTGCATTGACAAGTGACATTTTTTACATAAATTGATTACAGTGCAAAAGACAAAGTCCTCCTAGCAAATGGGAAAATTATTACAGTGGAAGGTAACAGTCAAGGGTTCCTGAATTGCATCTCACAGTCAAGGGGTAAGCAAGATTGTTTTGTATGTTCCATGCCTAGAAGGAATTCTCCTGTCATTGGAAACCCTTGCTAAAAATGGACTCACAGTCCAGTACTGAGGCAAGGAATGCACAATCCTAAACAGAAAACAAATCCTAGGAAAAGGTAGTATGAATGAACACCTGTACAAACTCATCACTACAAGCGAACAAGCCGAAGCAACAACTCATAATGTACACAACAAGTGTATCCACCTGTGGCACAGCAGATTGGGGCATTGAAATACAGAAGCCACTAAGGAATTTGCAAAGAGAGGTCTATCAGAAGGAATGACAAATTTGCCTGTCCACACGCTCATGAACTGCACATGTTGTATCAAAGCAAAGGCCACACGTACACTACTTCCACAGACCAGTCAAAGAAAGACCACTCAACCCATTGAACTCATACACAGCGACATGTGTGGACCAACAAAAACACCAACACCTGGCGGGAATAGATCATTATTGACCTTCATTCATGATTATTCTAGATACACAACTACTTATCTGCTGAAGCACAAATGCGAGACATCAGAAATTCTTCAAGACTAGCAACAAATTTTAAAGGAAGCCACTAATAATACGCACTGACAATGGATGGGAATATATGAAAGGAAGTGAAATCATACCTAAAGAAACAAGGTATTGTATACCAAACAAATGTACCATACACTCCTGCACAAAATGGTGTAGACAAAAGGAAAAAAACACACTCTCACAGAAATGGCCAGATATATGCTTTCAGATACCAACTTACTTAACAGGTACTGAGGTGAATTAATAATGACAGCAACAGACCTACAGAACAGGCTATCATCAAAAAACATTTGTAATGGTATTTATTAATTAATGACTTTTTGTCATAAAAAAGCATAATGAGCTTAATGCTTTAGACACACCACTAGATGTCAGTAAAGCATAATGAGCTTAATGCTTTAGAGGCACCACTAGGGGTCAGTGTGCTAACTCATGTGCTTCTGGCAGTGACATCACAGGCCAGCCTACTTACTGGATAAAACCAAATAGTAGGAGGAATTCAGCCTCCTTTTTCCTTTGCTTGCATTGATTGAACATGTAGCTGACTGTATAGCTCCAGCCAAACAGGCTGGAGCCGTGTAAGTAATCTATTATAACAGCTAGCAACTGTTATAGCCTTTTGTAAGTAATATGTTGTAGTTTTGTATTGTATAATTATTGTGGTAAATTGACATTCTGCTAGCATTTGTTTAATTGTTATTATAATTATATTAAATATACATTTAATACTACAATGTTTTGTGTATTTCCTATTATATATTCAACCATAATACCGAACTCTAAAAAATATTAATGTTGTTATTTGTTGCTTAATTATTATATATTAATTATTAAATTAATATTCATATTTAAGTCACGACTTTAACACTTGGCGACGAAGATGGGATTATGCTGGAATATTAGGGAAAATACAAAAGTTATGCATTTTGTTTAATACATAGAGTCAATTGTCTGTCTGTATAGAAGTGAATAAATTGATGATCTGGTTTTAATGGAATGAATACAGATAGCAAATAGGGATTAGATATTTGTTTTTAATGTATCTCTTGCTGTAGAACATAGTGATGAATTATTGTGTTGCTTGTTACCAATCTTTGGTCATTTGTATATAGAAAAAAAATATATACTTTACCTTTTGTCTGACCATGTGGATTTTAATCCACCATTGACCACATGGTGTGAATGAGTTGAGGCCTAGTTTCATTGTTTGCTACCATTTGCATAGGAAAATACTTTTCACTAAACTAGTTCACCAGGTTTTATTGCTAAATTTGACCCTCTTTGTGTACTAATTTACATTTGTTTGGCATTCATGGATTTGTCTAGTTGAAAAGAGATTTGGACAAAATTTATTAAATTAGTAGTTAAGAAAAAGATATGTTTAGTAAAGCAGATTCAGTGAATAATAGATTGTGCGTATACACAGAATATTAGTATAAATATATATATATATGATTTTGACTCATGAAGGAGAGACCACCTTTTTAACAGCTGTGTGACCATGCTTTTCAGCTACAGCTGGGGGAGAATTTGTCCTTGTTGGGGGTGGGTAGTCTTGCCTGTATGAGAAAAAATAAACTGCATTGTTTTGTAAATGTAATTGCCTAAACTCATCAATTTGTGGAGTGTTTTTCAGCTTTATTATCCAGGACTAAGGAATTACTGGACATATGCAGGAACTGGTAACAAATGAACTGAAACAATTGTAAAATAATTCCTTTGTCCTATTTAGTCTGAATATTTTAACAAGTTAGCATGTTTAACAAAGTAAGTGTAGGGGCTCAGATTAAGATTTATATTATTTTAGAAGCCATCTATAACTCATTTTAATATTTCCATGCTTTGAATTAGGGTGTATCTGCCTAGCGGGTGAACCTCCATAACATGGGCTGTGATTTTAGTTACAGTAGCGGGTGGGGAACCTGAGCTAGGGGGTATTTAAACGTGTCCGGATAAGGGGGAGCATACCCAATAGTTGTTGTGCAGTTCTATCCTGTATTATTATTATTATTATTTGAAACCCTGTATTACTTATAAGTAGCGTTTTGTAACTTATTTGTAATTGTTTATATATATTGCTCTGGGAAAGGGATAGGCAAGATCTCTGAGAGACCAGGAAATATATTTTAAAAAGGGCGTATTACACTAGTGGTAGGGCGGCCTATCATGACCATAGAGACCCTTGGTGACTAGTTTTTGTTGTATATTGCCCTGGGAAGAGGATACGCTATTTAATAGAAATTCCTGAGAGACCAGGAAATATACAATAAGTGATACGTGAGTGTACTGGTTAAATTGCAGACATATTGGCCCAGAACCTTTAATCGAGCCGGAAAAGAGGCTGCTGTATGTTTGCTCCTCTATAATTTTGCGGGGGCGGTCACCCCCATGCGGAAAGCCACTGCCATCACAGGGTGGTTAGTTGTGCAGGCCCTTAGCCGCGAGGTGCAAGCATGTCCGTGGAAAGGCTAGAAATTAATAGGGAGTCACTCATAGCTGTCAGAAGTGTTGAACTTTGAGACATATTGACCTATATCCTTTCAGAGGCGGAAGAGGTGTTGTGGTTCACTCCTCTATAATTTAACCAAAGGGTGGAGAGTTATTAAACATGTTTAGGTTGGCTAGAAATGTGTTTCCTGAATTGCAGAGAAGATGCAGAAAGCAGCTATTAGCTTATTGTTTTTTAAGAGCCTTGTAAAAAAAAAAAAATTAAGAAAGTTATCGTGTTTACATGTCTGTGTGTGTATATATATATATATATATATATATATATATATATATATATATATATATATATTCTAAGTAAAATATTTGCAGTATAAGCTATAAGTGACTAGGAAAGTAATCCTGATCTGTTTCCTAACCTTTTCAGATGTAGCAGAAACCAGAGGTGGACATTGGAACACAGATAGAATATCAGATGGAGACCAGTGTTTAAATGTTGACCTTTGATGAGCTATTGAATGTTTTATTTTATTGTCTATTTAACATGTCTATGCTATGATTTTGTGCATACTATTCTCTTATTTCTAGTGATTGTATTGCAATTGAAACCCTTATGTATTATTGTTGTATGTATGTATGTATGTATGTTGCCTGGGAAAGGGGGGAATTGACCCATAGGGACCAGGGGGTATTTTTGTGTAAACCAAACTGGGGTGGGAGGGCTCTAACGAGGGAACCCCATTGTCCAGTAGGTGCTTGATTTGTGTCTGTGTAAAGTGCATGAGTGGTTGCAGTTAAAAAAAAACAAAAAACGGAAGAATGATAAGAGGGATAAGAGAAAGTAGGCATTTTGGGTTATCTATACATGTTTAAATAGAAGGGTGGTAAATAGGAATGTAATTGTTTTGGTTAATGTTTAGATTAAATTAGTTAAATACAGCAGTGATAACGAGTGTTTAGATTAAATTGGTAAATGCAGCAGTAATAACGAGTGTTTGGGTTAAATTGGTAGATACAGCAGTGATATTGTGTTTATCTGTGAATCAGGAGTGTGCTGGATGTGAAGAGAGGTGTGTAGGTATTTATCCAAACGCCATAGGAAAAAATATGGTTAAGACACCACAATCAAATGGTACTTGTGATGATTGGCACAGTTATTATTTATGTTTGTGTTCGTCATTGCCTGTGTTTTCATTCAAGAACTTTCAAGCAAGGATATTTTAAGCAGAAGAAGAAGAAGCACTGGACACTATGCTCAACTGTTGCTGTAAGGAGAAAAAATATTGCAGCTAAGAGTGGTGAGAGTCGGAACAAATGCATCAGGAGCAGGACACTGTTACGTCAAGGTGGTTAATGGTATAAAGAAAGAAAAAACAAAACAATGTGACCACAAACACACAAAAGTCCTTGATCACATGAACTGTTTCATTCATCCCTGTCTCCATGCGTATGTTCTATGAGACTGTCGAAGAATAGAGTATCCAGTTTCCAGGACTAATGTTTGTGAAAATTCCAGGCACACAGACCAGCCAGAGGCTACAGAAATGGAGTCAGTCTGTGCCATGATTCATAGGTGTTATGAGTTTGTGGTGTCTAATACTATATTAAGCTCCAAAACACATCCTCACATGAACACAATATCATTGGTTAATCTAATAAAACATGGTTTGAGTTGTCTATTATTACAAGGGTGGGTATTTGCCTATTTAAGGCCAAGGTTTCCCAACTGCTAATGCATGTGCTCAGTGGTAATTATAAGGGTGGGCATGTGCTTATTTTAGGCCAAGGTTTCCCAACTGGTGATGCATGTGCTCAAAAAAAAAAAAAAATTGAATAAGCAATAAAGTGTCATAACTTTATGGGTAAATGGGTATCATTCTTCAAAAGGTGGGTTTTGTTGTAGGGCAGATACTGTTAAAATAGGGTAGATTCAAGATGTACGGGTTTATAATGTTTGTTTTATGACATAAGTCAAAGGGTGGTTTGTAATGGTATTTATTAATTAATGACTTTTTGTCATAAAAAAGCATAATGAGCTTAATGCTTTAGACCCACCACTAGATGTCAGTAAAGCATAATGAGCTTAATGCTTTAGAGGCACCACTAGGGGTCAGTGTGCTAACTCATGTGCTTCTGGCAGTGACATCACAGGCCAGCCTACTTACTGGATAAAACCAAACAGTAGGAGGAATTCAGCCTCCTTTTTCCTTGGCTTGCATTGATTGAACATGTAGCTGACTGTATAGCTCCAGCCAAACAGGCTGGAGCCGTGTAAGTAATCTATTATAACAGCTAGCAACTGTTATAGCCTTTTGTAAGTAATATGTTGTAGTTTTGTATTGTGTAATTATTGTGGTAAATTGACATTCTGCTAGCATTTGTTTAATTGTTATTATAATTATATTAAATATACATTTAATACTACAATGTTTTGTGTATTTCCTTTTATATATTCAATCATAATACCGAACTCTAAAAAATATTAATGTTGTTATTTGTTGTTTAATTATTATATATTCATTATTAAATTAATATTCATATTTAAGTCACGACTTTAACACCATTGAAAGTACAGCATACCAAATCTGGAATCTACCAAACCAGGACATATTAGAGTGTTCGCCCATGTCCAAAGCAAGAAACGCTCCAAGTTGGAAAACAACACCATAGAAGGCATTCTGGTGGGCTACAGTGAACAAAGTAAGGGATAAAGGATCCTTCACCCAAAGACCAACAAGGTCACAATAAGTTGCAATGTTTATTTTAAGGAAAGTGAAGCATCAGAAAAACTGACAGAACCTTGTATGCAAACTTCAAAAGAGTCTCAAGAATGCAAGGGCTCAAGAATGCAAGAATGTGAAATGAAAAAGTGAATGAAATGCTCACAAAAGAAGGATTCTCAAGAAGTAAAGCAGATCCATGTCTTTATTCAAAGAATTAAGAGAACAAATGGATATACATTCTCATTTATATTGATATTATAAAAATTTTTAGACAAGAAGGGGATTATGACCAAATAGTTCGCAAATTGAAACAGAATTTTGAGATTAAAGAGTTTAGGAACATCAGTCACTACATAGGAATTCATATAGAGAGGGAAGAGGATAGAAGCTATCTTTTTAACCAAAGTACAAAAATACAGAAATGTTAGAACAGTTTCACATGCAAGATGCAAAGGAAGTGAAAACACCAATGGTTATCAGAAAAACAATGAAACAAAAAACTTGTTGCACAACAATGATAATTAACAGAAGGCAATTGGAAAATAGCTATACATTACTACAGTAACAAGACTAGACGTTGTGGCAGCAGTAGGTATACTTTGCAGAAAAGTTGCAACATCTTGACAACCTGACTGGAATGCAGTAAAGAGCGTGATACAGTAGCTAAAAGGAACAACTTGAATGAAGCTGTGACTACCAGCAATGTCAAACCCAAAGTTAAATGGATATGTAGATGCTGATTGTGCTAGGGACACCACTGACTGCAAATCTACAGGTGGTTATATCTTCCAGTATGGAGAAGGAACTATAAGCATGTCTAGTCAAAAATAAGTGACAGTTGCACTCTCTTCAACTAAAGCGGAATATGTAGCAGGAGCACATGCATGTCAAAAAGCAATTTGGATTCATCATCTTCTACTAGGTATGGTACTGGACATGTCTAAATCGATACCCATCCTTGAAGACAATCCAGGATGTATACAATTTATATTATCAGAAAGGGTAAATCCCAGAACCAAGCACAATCATGTAAAATATCATCTGCTCAGGGATATAGGAGTTATTGACGTTCAGTATTGTCCATCAGTAGAAATGACTGCAGACACACTCTCCATACCGTTGCTAAAGGAGCATGGGCATCCACGGGGGGGATGGGGAGGGCAAGGTGGAGCACAGATTAGGTAAGTGAGGGATGGAGGACAGCATACAGATCAGGTAAGTGAGGCATGGGGAGTAGGGGCAGCCTACAGATCAGGTAAGCTGGATGGTAAAGTAGGGGAAGGAGCAGAAAAGAGAATGAACAGAAATTAGCAGGAAGGGACATCAAGGAGCAGAAAGGGTCAGCACTGAGCTGGAAGGGACAGAAGGAGTGCAAAGGTGGGAGAAGGAGCAGAAAGGAACATAAATTAGCAGGAAGGGATAAATTAGCAGGAAGGGGTAGCAATAAGCAATGAGGGTCTGCAAGGATCAGGAAGGGCAGAAATGAGCAGGTAGGGGCAGCAAGGAGTAGGAAGGGTCTGCAAGGAGCAGGAAGGATCTGTAAAGAGCAGAAAGGGTTTGCAAGAAACAGGAAGGGACAGCAAGGAGCAGGAAGGAACAGAAGGAGCCCAAAGATAAATGAGCAGAAAGAATCAGAAGGAGCAGAAAGGTAAAGTAGGAGAAGGAGCAGAAAGGGCCAGCAAGGAGCAGAAAGGGGCAGCAAGAAGCTGGAAGGGGCAGAAGGAGTGCAAAGGTAAAGTAGAAGAAGGAGCAGAAAGGAACAGAAATGAACAGGACGGGTGAGCAAGGAGCAGGAAGGGTCAGCAAGGAGCAGGAAGGGGCAGGAAAGAGTGGAAAGGATCTGCAAGAAGAAGGAAGGGTCTGCAAGGGGCAGAAAGAGTCAGCAGGGAGCAGGAAGGGACAGAAGGAGCACAATGGTAAAGTAGGAGAAGGAGCAGAAAGGGGGCAGAATGAGCGCAAAGGTAAAGTGGGAGAAGGAGCAGAAAGGAATAGAAATGAGCAGGAAGGGTCAGCAAGGTTCAGGAATGGGCAGCAAAGACCAGGAAGGGTCAGCAATGAGCCAGAAGGGTTAGCAAGAAGCAGAAAGGGGCTACAAGAAGCAGGAAGGGACAACTCCATAGTTGTGAAAACACTATTCACCATGGATTTATGTAATAATGAGCCTCCCCTTCATGACACTGTCAAAAAAAGGGCCAAGCATGGGTGTCATTATAATTATGTCCCCCCCCCACTCCCCCCTGGAAAGCTTCCTGCGGACATCCATGCAAAGGAGCATAATTATTTACTACAAAAGAAGCTGAATGTCACGTAACTATGCACATGCTGTTGAGGAGTGTTGGGAAAAACAAAAACATGTACTGCATAATATGTATATACTTAGCACTTGAGCTGTAGATGGTACTGTGCAGTTTAGAGTACTGTTTATATATGCATATGAACTTGCTGGTACACTCACAGGAAGAAAGTTCTTTGTTTTTTCATTTGCTCTTTGTCTAGTGCAAACTTTATAAACTCCTCAATGCATTGCACTGTCATCGTTTCTTTGTGCACACAATTGATCCTTCATGAAATGAAAATGAGCCCAGTCTTCTAATCATCACATTGGGTCAAAGTTCATAGTGGTAATTGTTATCCCGATTATTGTGTTCCATTTTAATTGCTTTCTGAAATGTTACAGACACTGACAGTTCTTGAATAAATCCCAATGCCTGCTCTTGTATACATTTAGATTTTAATCCACCATTATACAACTTCCAGTCTTGATAAGACAAAAAAATAAACTTATTTCAGATGCTTAAACCTTGGAACAATACATATTTATTAATGATTCTTAAACATCCCACTAACATTAAAGCATCCTAATCTTTAATAATTTAGAATGCAGTTACACTGACATGATCATTGCTATATAGTTGCAAGAAAAAGTATGTGAACCCTTTGGAATGATGTGGAGTTCTGCACAAATTGGTCATAAAATGTGATCTGATCATCATCTAAGTCACAACAATAGACAATCACAGTCTGCTTAAACTAATAACACACAAAGAATGAAATGATGCCATGTTTTTATTGAACACACCATGTAAACATTCACAGTGCAGGTGGAAAAAGTATGTGAACCCCTAGACCAGTGATGGTGAACATATGGCACGCGTGCCACAGGTGGCATGCCGGGCCCTTTCTGTGGGCATGCGGCCACAGGTTCGCCATCAATGCAGAGTAGGCGCCTGCCCGAAACGGCAGGCGCCTACTCTGCTTCCGGGTTGGGAGGCAGGGGGAGGGCTCCAGGAAGCAGCTCCCCTGTCCTCCCGCGCGATGCTGTGTGGAGCGTTGCTGCACGTTACCATGGCAACGCTCCACACAGCATTGCGCGGGAGGACAGGGGAGCCGCTT